AGACAGAGAGACAGACCGACAGACAGACAGACAGACAGACAGACAGACAGACAGACATATGCTGTAGCTACATACTACACACGCGCACACGCGCACACATACTTCTTTTTAAATGTTTGGTTACGTTTGGTTCAATGCTGACGGACACATTGACATGCTGTTACCTTTTTCTGACCTGGTGAGTTTCATTGCGTGAGCAGTTGGGTATGCAGAAATGTACTAACAGCCAGTGTATCATGCAAAGCAATGTGCAGTCAAGCTTCACTATATTGTGCATTCAGGCTTAATCCGGTATATTGACCCCGCAATGGTTCTCGCTTGAAATAAGGGTATATTGACCCCGCAATGGTTCTCGCTTGAAATAAGGGTTTCCTGCGCGGCCTGAGCCACGGGAAGGTTTGCTGTACCTGCTCCCAGCCTGGGCGGGTATTTTTTTCCCAGTATTCTGCACTGCTGTCAAGCGTGAGCCCTGTGAACGTGCAGTCCCTATCGCCTGACGCCCGCGGAGTGCTCACACCAGCGGCGGCGTTCCACGGGAGCAGTTTGCAGCAGCGGCTGGAGGCGGTCTGGTACACCAATGCTCGTACTATTTTTCCACTAGGCCCCTCATTCTAAAACTATCCCTGCTGCATTGCTGCGGCCATCGCCTTGATGTTGCGAATGGCACCCGAGCACCCCCTCAGCCAGTTCTTCGTATGCGGGAGGCCCATGCCTTTGCGGCTGGAGCAGGACAAAAGATGTCGTTTGAGGTCGGGGTGGGGGTCTTTGTCCATATTGCCTGAACAGTCGATCAAGCATGGCTCATCTGCAGGTCCTGAAAGGAAAGCCTGCAGAAGAGAAGGCCAATGCCAATGCGATGCGCAAGCTCGATGAGCCACATGTCGGTCTTGCCTCCTCTCGTCGGGCTACAGCTTATGCCTACCTCGCAGCTCATGAAGTTGCAACCAAAACTACCGAACAGTTCCCACGGCCGAGGGCTCAATGTCTCAACTGTTTGGAGGCAGGGGTTACCGTTGCCAGACACCGCCCACCGGCATCACCGGCCACACAGCAACACAAAACTGCAACACAAGCAGCCGGGCCCCCAAGCCGCGTAGAAAACACAGGACAGCCACTCCGGCAACAATTTGGCATGATCTGCTCAAGCGGTGTGGCAAAATTGAAATTTTGAGGTGTTTCTGCAGCAAGTGGAAAGCATTTCAGATACAATCTGCCGCAGTTCCGTGTCGAGGCAGTTTTTTTGGACCCTTCCAAATCTTCCAAAGTGTGCACAGATATCCATCAATCAAGTTATATATGCTTATAGAAGGACCCCGTCGCCCAAACAATTCTCAATTAATGCCAGCTTTTGGCTTGCAATATGACAAGTGTGTGCTCAACTACAACCTGATCCCAGAGTGCTTGCGCTTCTGCGTCCATAGATGCGATCTGCATTCCTCAGATTGTCACCGCCTTGACGACAGCAGCCAAGCGCCGGCAAAAGGCAGTCCAGCTGCTGGAGACCGGCAGCCTGCAGGCTCTCGGGCTCGAGAAATCTTAGGAGAGGAGCCAGGATCCCTGCAGAGTCTCGTACTGTCAGGCATGGGATGTTCCGTCCATGATCAAGTGAGCAGACTCGACGTCACCCACCGCAAAGTTGCTTGGAGTGTCTGCAACACTGGTCGCTGGGTGCCATGTGGTTCTCGCGGCGCTAGTTGTCTTGAATGCGCTCCTGCAAAATGAGCAGCTCCAAGGGTCTACTGTGGCATCCGGGACCCTCCTTTTCCACCTCCTCCCACTTGTAGTGGCAATTCACGATCCCCCAAGCGTTTGAAGTGATGGCTGCAAAAGCACACAACCAAATAATCATGCCTGGCAAAGCCATGCGGTGCCCCGGATCGGCTGAGACGGCGGGGCCCATAGCGGTCCTTGCGGTCGACGTCCACCGTCGCCGTCCACCCACATTTCAGCAGATTTCCTTGCCAGGAGCTTAGACACGGCTGTCGGCGGTCTCAGCAGTTTCAGCGGCGGCTGTTTTCGGCCGTCCTCGTCGTGGCGCCCTCTATGCCAAACGCGGCTTGTGTGCAGAGTTCTTCGGTGCCCTGTGCAAAGTCTCTGGAGGTCGCCGCTTTGTCGACATTGCCTGCGCTGCGATGGGCCTTCGCAGGCCATGGTGTTCAGCGTGTTTTCACTTGCGGTGCGCAGTGTCCCTGCAAGGCCCGGAGGTGTCTCAGAGACGAAGTCTCGTTGCAAGACATGCTGAGGCCAGGATTTTGGATCTTAATTAAGGGTTACGTCGCTACGTTGTTTTTTTGTTAGGGTTTATGGCATTTACATGTACTTGAAGTGTAGTTGTTTCTCTCGCATTGGTTGTCAGTTTCAGAATATTTAGGGTTTAGGGTCAGCGCGATATAGAATTCTGCGGCAGGGTTAGGGCTTGCAGGTGCGAGAGTTTGCAGGTTTCGGTTGTGACAGGTTTATGGGTTTGCACATTGACGGGGTTTAGGGTCTGTAGGATTCAGAACTTTTGGGTTTGAGGCACAAGTCTCGGGTTTCGGGCTTTT